ATTGCTTCTGCTGAGCAGGCCCTGTGTTCATATCTGGCCACTTGAGATTTTACTGTATTATTATTGGAGCCTGTGTACATCATCATTTGCAGGGGATAGTATTCCCTGTAGTAGCCAACAACTGATGATTAAGTGCTACTACTTGATTTTCTTCCCTCTCCTCTCTCCCCCACTAATTCTGCTCCCGCCCCCCATGTTGTTTCTGGAATTGTTTATTTATACTTGAATTTTTGTATTGATTAAAGAAATCTTGGGGGTGGAAATGTTATTTCTGTTTGTGGTGTTTCAAATTTGTCTGAATATAGCCCTAGAGCAGAGCTGGGCAAAATAGACCCAGGGGCTGGATCCCGCCTGCGGGCCACCCTGCCAGGACCCTCAGGCACACAGCTTCTGCGGGTTTTAAAGTGCAGTCTGCTCTGGAGGGAGGGGAAGGCTTGGAATGATCTCCCTTGCCCCCAGCCCAATCCTCAGCTCTTATTGGCCAGAAACAACTGGCCAATAGGAATTGACCCCAGCCAATCTCTCAGCTCCTATTCACTGGAAGCAACCAACCAATAAAAGCTGAGAGATTGGCCTGGAGGATGGGGGCAGCACAAGCCTCTTCCCTGTCCCGGAGCCAGTGGAGGGAATAGCCTGCAGCCCTAAGTGATCTGGGGCTACAGGAGCCCAGCCTGCCTTTGGGGTGCTGGCTAGGAGATGCTTAGGTAAGTGCCTGGCAGGCAGAGCCTGCCTCTGGCACCCCTGTGCCTCCTGCACCCCAACTCCCTCCCCCAGGTCACCATCCAAACCCTCTGTACTCCCCTACCCCATTTCACAACTCTCTCCCAGGCTCTATCCTCTCCTGTACCCCTCCCCCAGGCCAGAATCCTCTCCTTCACCCAAACTCCCTCTCAGACCCCACACCATCTCCTGCATCCCAGTCCCTTACCCTGTGCTCCCTTCTGTACCCAGCCTCCATCCTAGACCCCACACCACCTCCAAAGAAAAGTGTTGCCCTTGACCACTTTCCAAAATCTTGGGGTGGCCCCCTCACAAAAATTATTGCCCACCCCTGTCCTAGAGTGTGTTGGCTAGTCCCAGCCATCACCGCTGCTTAAGGATGGATCTTGAGAAGCCATTAGCATTTAGGCCACATGTTCACAGTGGGGGAGATCGACGCTGCTGTGATTGATCTTCCAGAGTTTGATTTAACTGGAAATTGAGCTCAGAGGGTGCCACTGTCAGTGCCGGTACTCCTATTCCTTGCAAGGAGTATGAGAAGCTGATGGGAGTGTGTACTCCCGTTGGCTGCCTGCTGTGGAGGCTGCGCAGAAACTCAAGTTAAGGTACATTGATTCCAGCTACATAATTAACGTAGCGGGAGTGGCTTTGACTTTCCCTTTTAATGTAGACCTGGCCGTACAGGAAATTGCTGCCTTTCTTCACTGGTGTAAAAAAATCTCAGAATTGTTTGAGAGGGGAATTTTGTAGATTTCACATGACTTCAAGTTCCCAATTCTTGTCCCTCCTGTGCTCTCAGAAGAGGGCCACGGACATCCTAAAACCTTTTATGTCTTTGAGAAATCTAACTTTTTCTGTTAAATGTTAACATTGGATACCTGGTCAGGTAAAACCAGATCACATTGAGTCAACTGTAGTTCTTGATATCTGTGTGGAATTTGTCATTGTCATTTTTGAAGAAGCGGAGACAATATATTGAGCCATCTAATAAGTTTGTCTGATGTATTCTTGCGGTTAGGAACTATATCTTTCCCAAAGCTGAACATAATCTTAAGAAGTCACTGTCATGAATCTGGGAAAGTTAAAATTGTTTTGTGGGTTTTGTCTTTCAGAAGATGCTTAAAATACCTCCTGGGTTTTTTTCTGTCAGCCTTTCAATAAAATTAAGACAATCTCAAGTGCACTTCCTCAAAGTATGAACTCTTGTCAGTATTGACCTTGTTCCTGCTTCTCAGTTTGGTTACTGAGAGGACAACTTTTAAGATTAAGTCTTAAAGTTACTCAGTACTTTAGCTGAAAGATTTAGCTTATAGCCTAGGAGAAAAATGTCTGTGCCAGAAGACTTCCATCATTTAAGAGAGCATAACAGCTATGCAATGTATTTGTGTGCTGTATTTAATTGTAACATTTTATTTAGTACATTTCTAAACATGTAATTTACTCTGCCTGCCTTTTGAATTTCCTTCTTCCCTGCCCTAGCTTCATTCTTCTCTTTTCATCTAAGATATTGGACAAGCTTTTCTTTAGTTATTTTAGAGAGACTGTTTTCTATCTTTCTCTCCCACTCGGTTATATCTTTGCTGAAGTAGTTATTCTTCAGCCACGTGTCTGCTTGTGGGAACATCAACACTGCAACGGTCAGTCTTCCAGCGTTAGATTTAGTGGGTCCAGTAAAGACCCGCTAAATCAAACTCAGAGGGTGCCACCGTATGCGCTGGCACTCCTACTCCTCTTGAGCAGTAAGGGAAATTGATGGGAGCAGTTCTTCTGTTGACCTCCTGCTGTGAGGACGGCACTGAATCTCAGCTTAAGTTACATTGACTTCAGATACATTTTTTTACATAGCTGGAATTGCAGTCTTTAAGTCAACCTTTTCCCATAGTGTGACTCCTGCCCTGTATTTTGTCCATCCCATTTTCCCCCCAGAATGCTCAAAATACTTCTTTTTAAATGTATTCTGTTGATCTGACCAATCCATGCTCATTTCCTAGAAAAATCTACCGAATATAATAGCCAGGTGATAAAATTAACTGAAAGGCCCCAGTGCCACAGAAGGAATACAAAGGCAGTCCCCTTTCCCTCCAAATCTGCCATGAAAGAGGAGACTGTGTGGATTATTTCTGTGACCTCTGACTAATAAAGTGTCTGAAATTTGAAGCTTACACTTCCCATTTTTCTCACTGCTGGAAAGGAGATGCATTTTTCCCTCTTATTCTCCCTTCTTCACTTCTTATTCCAGAATTTCTCTAGCTTTTGCATGTATACTGGCGTGGAACTTTGAAACAATCTGTCCCTCTGTATTTTAGGTGCTCCTCCTCAGTTAACAGCTTCCTGCTGTTCTAAACTTTCACAAGCAGCAGAAAGAAGTTTAGCCAACACCTGACAATTTCACTATGGGCCACAGATTTGAGCCAGTCATCTGATGAAGTTGGTTTTGCCCATGAAAGCTCATGATACTATATACTTTTACTAGTCTCTAAGGTGCCACAGGACTACTTGTTTTTTAGTTACAGACCAATACCGCTATCCCTCTAAGATTGTGTGGCACTGTTAGTTCATTCTGCCTTTGATTTAGGAAGACCTGAGCAGAGGCATTTGAAGATGTCTGTCTGCTAGTTTAGAGTAATATTTTTTTCACATTTGGAAGGTGGTCTCTTCAACCATAAGGGCCACAAATTAAAGCTATTCTGCAGAAGTCAGGTGTATTTAGCAGAGAAGGGTTTCTGCTCACCCTGGATTAAGCATTAACTTCAACCTTTGGATACTAATATAGGGCTTCTATTGAAGTGCCCCTTGCCTGCTTTTGGCAGCAAAACTTGAACCTGAATCATAAAAGATACTTTTATGTTTTTGACAAATGGGAATGTATCAGTTGTAAGGATCAGTAAAAGCTCCGCAAATGTCTTCTAATTGTCTGTTTCAATGTATATTACAAAATACATTGAATCAAAAAAAATTGACTGTGTTTTTGCCCTGACTGTGCTGCATTTGCAAGAAATACTGTGTGGCATCTTAAATTGAGAGAATTGTGTGAATTAACTCGTGTGGTATCTGGATACTTTGAAAGTAGTTATTTGGAGGGAGGCAGGTTATTTCATTTTCCTATCAATTTACCCTTCAATCAGGAGTTAATAAGGCAAGACACTTGACTTGAAAGAATATTGATCTTGTGAGAGGGTAATTAAATTAGTCTGTCCACCTTACATCTGCATTCCACATGGGTGGAATGGCAAAATCTCCAAAACTGAGTGGTTCTTAGAGGCACAGAAAGGAGAATATGTGATCTGAGACTAGAATTCGCTGATCACAAAGGTATGCTCGCCACAGTAGTGAGATATCAGAGTATGCAAGGGGGATTCTGTGACTTCATGTCAATGTTAGTACAGTGCCTAAGGAGTTTTGATAACTGGTTGTTGAAATCTAAGACTGTACACTGCAGCTGTACTGCTGTAACTGCAAGGTATAGTAGCACTAGGCCATGTCTACATGGAGGAAATTGACTGGCATAGCTATTCCAGAATAATTATTCTGATGTAATTTAGCTCTTCTGGAATAACTCCCCTGTGGATGCTATTCTGGATTAAAAGTGATTTTATTCTGAAATAAGTTTCAGAGAAGTAGCCATGTTAGTCTGTTTTAAATAGGAATGTGAAAATGTAACTGTGTAAGCAGATAACCAGTGAGCCTGGGCTCATCAATTAATGGTTACATGCAGGCTCCCTGTATGCACAGCACCCTGCGTGTATGTAACTGTGTACTCAATGACATTTTCACCGCTTACATGGTTACTTAATTGCTAAAACTAGGGATGTTAAAATGCATGCCAAAACAATGAGGCGTCCTATGGCACCTTAAAGACTAACAAATTTATTTGAACATAAGCTTTCATGGGCTGGAAATTCTGGAATAGTTACTGTATTTTGTGAGCAGACTAATTAAAAAGTCACTTTTATTCCAGAATAGTGTCTTTCATGGGGAACTATTTCATAATACCAATATCAGGCAATATCTTATTTGTTCAGGGTAAAACTGCTAGTTTTCTATGTGCTAACCTTGTCCCAGTTCAACACATGCTTAATTTTAAGCATAAAAATTGACTCCATTGACTTAGGTATCTTATTGACTTGGTACTCACCTACAGACATATCTAAAATCTTTTAGAAATTTGTTTAAACATTGCAGAGATTACATTTCCATCATATAGTTTTTCATCGTAGAATAACGGAAAATTATATGGTGACAACACACTAAAATTGAATGCCTTTTTTTTTTTTTTTCAGGGATCCATCAGTTTCTAAATCTATAGAAAGAATCTTTAAAATCTGGGAAGACAGAAATGTATATCCTGAAGAAACCATTTTGGCACTAAAAGAAGCTTTAAGTAAGTCCTTTATATTTGCCATTCTTAATATAAGAGCTAATTTACTATGTATAATAATTAAATGGTCTGAAGTCAATAAAACACTGTCACTGTTTAAATGTATTAATTGCTCTTTCTGCATTTTCAGGAATTTAAAAAGGGAAAGCTTAGAGTAATATGAATTAGCTTTGTAATTATTTGTTGAACAATTCTGTTTAAAGCCATTAAGTCCTTTGATTTTTAACTATAGTGTAAATTGTAATTGTATGAGTTGATAGCAAATATATATTATGTTTAAGGTATCTCTAGTGAGATAAATAGAAAGGAACATAAACACTGTCAAATCAAGTGTAAACATGTAATAAGAAAAGCAAAAAAAGATTTTGAGGAACAGCTAGCCAAAAACTCAAAAAGAAATAAAATGTTTTTTGTTTAAGGTATCTCTAGTGAGATAAATAGAAAGGAACATAAACACTGTCAAATCAAGTGTAAACATGTAATAAGAAAAGCAAAAAAAGATTTTGAGGAACAGCTAGCCAAAAACTCAAAAAGAAATAACAAAATGTTTAAGTACATTAGAAGCAAGAAGCCTGCTTAAAAAGCCTGTGGGTCCCCTAGATGATCGAGCTATAAAAGGAGCAATCAAGGACGATAAAGCCATTGCGGAGAAATTAAATGATTTCTTTGCTTCAGTCTTCACGGCTGAGGAAGTTGGGGAGATTCCTGAATCTGCACCATCCTTTGTGGGCGATGAATCTGAGGAACTGTCCCAGATTGAAGTGTCATTAGAGGAGGTTTTGGAACAAATAGAAAAACTTAATGTTAACAAATCTCCGGGACCGGATGGCATTCATCCAAGGGTTCTAAAAGAACTTAAATGGGAAATTGCTGAGCTATTATCTGTGGTTTGTAACCTATCCTTTAAATCGGCTTCCATACCTAATGAC